CTGCTCAGGCACACACAAGACGCCCAGTCGGCTGCCACACAGGCGCTTTCAGAGGGGCTTTCTCAAGTCTTCACTGAATCTCAGCATAAAACTCTTTACTTATGCTTCATGTCATTATCCCCAGTCTTCCCTATTGGTTTCTCATTGACATTGAACTATGCTATGCTGTGTTGTTTTGTTTGCCCCTTGTTCTTTCTCACTCTCCAGAACATGGGAAAGTTTGTTACTGGCCTTGAATAGCCCGTCCAGCTCTCTCCAGTGTCCACTTAAATCTTAAAACTATGGATACGATCTACATTCTCTTCTCCCTCACAATCTGGTAGTGCTCCTCCCTCTACAACAAAGCCATCTTTCTGGTCCAAGATGACCTCATTCGTATTTGTGTTCTCATTCACGTCAGAAGCAGAACTTTTTTGGCATGTATTTGTTATGTTCTTAATCAATCCACTAGTCTATAAACAGTGACTGGGGCTGAATCGATTGAGAGGTTCTTTAGGGAAGAGATTCTTTGCCCAAAGTGTGGCCCACCAGAAGGTTATCCTAACCCCAAACCAATCCGTCCAATGAGAAAAGATACACATACTCTATGGTGAATTCTACCCAATTAGTTTGAATTGCTGTTCCACAATAAGAACACTATTTTAAAAAAACAATAAAATATTTATACTGTAGATATTTTAAATTATTATTATTTATTTAACCCAAGGCATTAATAGAGATAGTAATGAGCTAAATATATAAACAATCATCATTTACGGGGTACTTCCTGTTGGGAGGTGTCTGTCCCAAACCATAGCCACTAAATTAACTTCTAAATACTACTTACATTTTTTTTTGTTTTTTTAAGATCAGTTTGATTTCTTTTAAACTGAAGTTAAAAGATTTATATTGATCAAACTTTATTCAAAATTTGCTATCCCATGTTTTTATGTCACTACCGAAACAAAGACTTTTAATTCGTCAAATTTACAACAAATGCGTTCATGAAAGCTCAATTTGAAACCTACTTCTTTACTTTTATATCTTTTGTTTTATTTACTTTATTGTGTGTTTTTGGCTCTCAGCCCACCACTTATATTGCACATTGCCCCCCTAACAGAAAACGTTTTAGCACCCCTGTTCTATGATATTGTATGCTAATAATAATTAAAAAATTATAACAGCATAAATTTCTCAAGATTTATTTTTCTGTCAATCATTTCAAGAGGTAAACCTGGAGATGAAAACATCTTAATCCCTTCATCAGCTCCTGTTCTCCCTCTCCCAGTGCTCCTCTTTCATCTCTCGCTCTGTTCACAGCTTGTCCCCACAGGCTGCCTGATCTCTTAATTGAGCCTATTGTATTTATAATTGAATAATTAAAGACTTTCATGACGGGCAAGCAAATGACGGGGGGAGGAGCTGGCAGACACTCCAGGCTCCAGAACTTGAGATAGCAGAGGAGTTTGCATGCTGACTCCCACACAGAGTAGATAACACTGAACCATTACAGGGCATTAATTATGTAATGTGACAATTTACATGTTATCATGTTTTTTAAACTATAACTCCAATTATTTGGTCGTTGTTTATGTTTTTACATCATTTGGAAACACCAGCTGCTCTTGACTGTGTGTACATTTCATGATGAATGGACCAACAAGGATGGTTCAAAATTACTCCTGTTACATTAACATATCCACATCACAGAGCACTTTATTAGGAACACCTCCTCGTAGATCTACACTCACTGTACATTTTATTAGCTCCACTGACGATATAGGAGCACTTTGTAGTTCTACAAATGGCTCTTCAGATTGATGGAGAATGTGTTGTATATGGTTCTATGCGGCACCAAAAAGGGTTCTTCTATTGTCATAAGAGATAAAAGAACCCTTTTGATGCTAGTACCAAACCAGAACCATGGAAAGAACCATTTAAGCATGAAAGAGTTCAATATAGTGCTCATGGTCCTAGAAGGGACCACTCCCTTTACTACAGAACCCAGGAAGAATCATCTTTTTAAAGAGTGTATGTAAATGAGCTCTGCTCTGATTGGTTGCCCTGTATTGTGACTCGTTCAAAAGCAGTCCAGGCTGAAAAACTCAAGTCTTATAACTTCAGGTCAATATGTTTAAATGTTTTGGTTTCTGTGACATCACATTCAAATCTGGCTATTTTTAAGCACAAAATGGTTCTATGTAGAACTTATCATTCTAAAAAGAACCACTCCCTTTACTAAAGAGCCCTTGAAGAACCAAATTTTTTAAAAGTGTAGGCTTAAGTCAACTCTAGTGATGAGGTTACGTAGGTGTGATGTAGCCTCATGAACACTGACCTACAGTAAAGTGATACTCAATATCATTAAGATTCTTTCATTTAACTTTGAAGCATTGACTGAAGCAGCTATTAAAGCAGCTCAACGGCACTAGCACGCTAACAATGCATCTTTCAGTAGATAATACACTGCAGCCTAACATAAACACCAGTTGGCTTTTTTCCACCAACAAACTCCAACATAGCAGCTGATATCAAGACAAATGCCTTAAAGGAGAACGGGACAGGTCACTTGGCCTAAAAGCACTCCTCAAACATCCTCTCATCACTCTCTTGGCGAACAATGTAATGGGATCCACTGAATGGAGCGGGAGCCCCCCCTTCAAATGCATTGTTCTGACGTACTTCCAAAGGTTATGCTGAGTGTTTGAAATGAAACTGAACACCATGTCCCAAAGGCCTTTGTCACCCGAGGGTGCTGACTGGTCATTTTTTGCATTGTTTTGCTGTAGTTTTGCAAACTTTTGCATGAATCTGCCATTTTTTGTGTTTATTATGAAAAAAAAGAATTACTATTTTTGAAGTATAATCATCACATCATAGCAAAAGCATATATGTATTATCTTCTTTTTTCCGTTGTTATAGTCTCATAACTTTTCCTCAGAAAAAAACTCTCAGATCTTATAGGTGGTTTCACTCAAAAGGCAATAACTAACACAGAGCTGAGCACTGAAGCCTCTTATAGCTAATTCAAAATTGAAGTTTGCTTTTCAAGGTGTATTAATATGTCACAGTATTTAATCAGACACCTCACTCACACTGCAGTTAGACATTTTGGCACCTCTTCTTTACTGAGTGGCTGCTAGTTTGACTGCAGCGCTTGAACACTTGTTGTCAGAAGCATACCTCATTAATCAAAGCCAGAAAGAGCACGACAAGCTGATGGAGCAACACAAAAACTAGTAGGCATGCAGACACAGGAGCACATTCACTTTGTCTTTGTCTCTGTCACGCACACACACAGAGAAAGGCTTGTTTTTATACAGAGTCAGGACATGAGGTCATACATATGTCCCATTTATGTTACATATATCGCTGTTGTTGGAACAAAACCTCAAAAAAGACTTTACAGGAGAAGGAAAAAACCTTCTTTACTTTTAATGTAAGTCAATGAAACCTTTTTCATTTTGTCATTTTGGGCCGTTTCTGTTGGTCCATTCATTGTGAAACTTACACACAATTTGAAGAACAACAGGCATTCTCAAATTATGTCAAAAACTGAAAAACAACAAAAATGGAGATACAAGGCTTTGTCCCAACAACAGCGATACACAAGTTTATATATATATATATATATATATATATATATATATATATATATATATATATAAATGGCATGTAAATATGTACAGGTAAGGATCTATATGCAATAATATGTCCCATACGTATCAAACATAAGCAGAGGTTGGCAGTACCTACTTACATTTACTCAAGTAGATGTATTAAAATGTTGTGTGTAAAATAATGCTCTCCTGAGTATTTTCAAATCTTAACACTGTTACTTCTACTCAAGTATATTGGTGAGTAAAGGAATTTACTTTTTACTCATTACATTATTAGCTGTTCATATTAAGTTACTAATTTCGCTTTTGTGTTTAATTTCATTCTGTTTTGTTGGTGACAATGTCTGTATGCTTCATTATTGGTAACTTTAATATTTTATTTTAGACCAGAATAACCCAAAAAAGAGAAAACAGAGCCATACAAACTCCAGTTCCTGTGCTGAGAGATGCCGGATTTACTATAAAGTTCCACTGCAGTTCCATACATTTCTAAGTACTTAAGTAGTTTTTTGATCTGATACTTTTGTACCTTTACTCATGTTGTTTTTGTTTTTCTGATATTTTTACTTGAGTTATTTTTTTATCAATACTCTTATTTGTGTACTGATTTGGGCTACTCTACCCACCTCTGTATATAGGTAAGCATTTATATGTAATGAAAGTAATCATAATAATAATACGTCCCGTTTGTTGGGGTAGCGATATGTCAAAAATATATTGCAATACTTTAAGAAGTTGAAACGATACACACCATGTCACAATATTTATTTTTATGACATCTTAGAAGTTGCATAAGTAACAAATAAAAAAAGACCATACTAAAACAAAAATACTATCAAAAACTATGAAAACTATTATTTGTTTTCAACATTTCACATACTTTGCTATCCTAAATCCAACTAATCAAGCCAAATTATTCTCTCTTTGTAGTGAAACATGCAGTTCTAAAGTAATGACAATATACATTATACACTCAGAGAAGCATATTGTGAAATATTGTCACGTAATTTATCATGATAATGATAAATATCGTATTGCCCAGCCCTACCCATAAATACTGACCAGGGCCCACCAACAGGCCCACAGTTTTTTCACACACTTCTATAACCTAAGAACAGCTCAACCAGTTTGCACTGACATCCCTGTAGTTACTGAGTAATAAGCCTCACTATGTAATAAGCCTGAGATTTTAAGGGGTTAATAACAATCTATCAACGTAAACATTGTCAGTGCAGGTTAACCCTGTTTTTCTGTGGCTACACTGAACAGCCTAGACAATTTTGTCCTAAAAACATCAAAAAACAAACCCAAACAAATAGAAAACAGCAAACAGACTGAAGGTTAAGCACATAGAGACCCTCAGGGTGAAGAGAAGACACTTACAAACGCACTGACACTTACACTGCAGGTTGGCGCTGGTGCCGTTGGACCAGGAGAAGGGTTCCAGCCCAGAGAAGAAGGAGCTAGCCTTGCGCAGCATGCAGGAACCCTGAGTGGACACGCTAAAGAGAGGCCTTGCACCAACTCCTAGAGCCTCCATGCAGTCAAACATGATGTCCACTTCTAAACCAAGCTAACCAAGGTCTCTACAGTCTCTCTCAGCTGCTGTCACTCACCAATCAGGAAAGTAGGACAACAGAGGAAACTTCTACTCAAGGCTGAGCTGCTTCTTTTAGCACCAAAAGAAAAAGAAATAAACTGCTTCGGGAACGAAAACAGCTTCTATGAGAAGCATCAGAGAACTTCTTCAGGTACTGCTGTCACTTTCGTATCCTCTAGTCTTTGGATCTTCACGTCTTTTTCTGCAGGTCTTCTCTGAGGGTCTCCAGACTGACTACCTTCTCCTCTTCTGCCCAAGTGCTTTGGTTGTAGATCAGCTGGTCTCCAAAACCTGGTTTAGATGTAAAAGCTTCTCCAACCAGCACACGGAGGTTCAGCAGGACAGTGTGTGCTAGCTGCACTCACGTTGAGACAACACGTCTAAGCTCAGCCCACATTAGACAGAGGGGAAGGGTTCAGGGAGGGAGGAGGAAGAGAGAAAAAGGGAGGGAGAAAGGGAGGCGGGAGTTATCCTGGTTGGCCCAAACTTTCTGTCGTTCCCATTTTCTGGCCAAGCGGTCAGTCAACCCTGCGTCATATTTCAGAGTTTTACAAATGAAAACAAACAATCGCTCTCCCCGCAGTCCCCTTCTCTCTCTCTCTCTGTCTCTCTCTCTCCCTCTTATTCCCTCTTTTCCGCCAATACTGACTCCTTTGTTCTCTTTTCTCTCAACACATCTTACTTAATACTCATGATACTCAGTGTTCTAACACTATAACTGTTCTGACGTTGTTCTTTTTATTGTTTACCATCACTCACACTTAATCCATCAACGCTTGAAAACGACTCATAACTACACAGTGCTGTTGATAAAAATGAACAAGAATGCAGTTTTTTTTATTTTAAAGTCCAAATGTTACACTAAAAAGGAACAAAGACCAAACATGAAATAATAAATAAATACATACATAGATATGTAAATATAAATGCATACAGCTGCAACTTTTTGCTTATAGTCCTCAAAGTGCCACTATAAGCGATGCTGTATAATCTTGGCTCCTTATAGAACCATGTCTGAAACCTTTTTAAAAGTTTAAAGAACCTTCACAAAGGTTGTATACCAGTTTAAGCGTTCTTCTTAGAACATTTGCATTATGTAGAGGCTCTTTAAAAATTAAAAAGGTTCTTGGTCCTTAAAAATCTGCTTATTATTATTAATATTATTATTATTATTATTATTGTTGTTGTTGTTCTTATGATGAAACTAATAACAACTAAGTCATGACATTTTGAGGCTTTCTAATGTATTTACAACTACAAGCATTGAATGAATGTGTTCTTTAATAAGGAAAATGGTTCTACGTAGAACCAAGAACACTCAAAGAACACTTGGCATGATTAAATGGTTCTATATAGCACTCAAAATGGGTCTCTTCTATCGTTATGATGTCAAACTGTAACAAAAGAAGAACCCTTTTTGGTGCTATTTACATTTACATAGAGCTATATAAATGTATGCCTGCCTTTTCAGCCTATAGCAGTTTAGCCCCACCCATTCACACTGAAGTTACAAGGATATTTTCAGTCAGGACTGCTTTTTGAATTAGGCACAATACAGAGCAGCCAATCAGAAGAGAGGGCATTTACACCATTAATTTATTAGGTAAATTATATCATTCCTAAAGGTGCAGTAACCAAAACAGCCTGTTTAATTCTATTGAATAATGAGAGGTTTGAAAAAATGGTCATATAAGAATGAATTATAGCTGTTTTTGGTAAATACAAACACAAACACTGGAAGTGGACTTAAAGGGACTGGAAGGGAGTAAAACAAAAATAAAAGAACAAGGTAGGATATGGGCCATTAAAGGCAACTGGTGTGACTTTTCACTTATTTACTATAATTCTCAACACTTTCAGTATACAAAAATAGCTTAATAAAAGAAGTGACAAGCATTTTGCACCAGTACAGTGACGTTCTAGATAGGAAGTGTGCTGGAAAGCAAAGTTTTGGGAAACTCTCTGGATCTTTTGAATCTAGCGCCCTCCATAGGTAAGAAACAGCAAGCAAAGGGTGGTGCTTTAGTGCACACATGCACTACATCTAAGGATCATTAGGCAGATCGAGGCCAGAGAGGGAGCCACGCTTTGTTTTTTATCTTTATCTATACCTCTTTATGTCTCTCTCTCTCCACCTCTCCCATTATTCCTGTGTTTAGACTGGCAGCCTAACAGTCGTTCTCCGTAGCCCCCTGACCCTTTACTTCGCCAGTGCTTTAGTCATATTATTGTTACCCACGCTAGTACACATTGTGCCGTGACCCTTTTTTCCTCTTCTCAACCCCATCATCCTTGTTTTTCTCTCCATCTTTCCAGCAATTCATTTAATCAAAGAGACCACAAGAGAATGCGGTTCCAGACGGGGGTAACTTTCCCAAAACGGCTGCTACCGAGAACCAATCCACGTCGACTATCCCTCCAGACCCATAAGTGACCTCCTGCCAATTCCTTGCTATATGTTCCATACAAGTGCTGCCCAAGCCAGCCAAAGCACATTTTATGACCTCTAACACTGTATTATGGAGGATAACTTAGACTATGATGTGTGGAGGCTTTAAAGCAAATGGACATCTTTGACTGATTATGCCTTTATTAGATCAGGTACAGCTGGACTGATGTTTCATCCAAATGTGTAAACAATAAAGCTACAGTGGTATCCAAAAGTTTGAAAATGTTTTTGATTTCCTAAGTGAGAATAAGTTGAACAAACATTTTCTGCTATTTTCTATTTTTTTTGCTGAGGAAAAGTTAAACATAATATATGAAAGGTCCTGTAACTTTTGCACATGCCACATTTTATATTTTTTTAAGTTTCCAATACATTAAAATAAACCGTAAACAAAGGCTGTGTTTACATGCAGAGATTTTAGCCAATCCGATTGAATACATTCTGATTATAGATTAAGAATGAGGTGTTTATATCACACTCTACTCAACAATCTGATGGAAAAGACTTTACACTCACACTACAAGTAATCTGATCCAAAATTGCATGCATACATAGAAAACCACTTAGTGTAGACGTTACCATGACAACCAGCATCATGTGAGTCCAGTCACAGTGAGATGAGCAGCAGTGAGCAGTGCTTGTGTTTTTAATTACTTCACATGTACTTATGAAAGAAGGGCGTGAGGAAGACGATGTGTTCTGAGACACATAAACTGGACGCCGTCAAACTAACCCACCGCCGTCTTTTGAAGTTCAAAGCATAAACTTCATCTCCATAAACTTCGTCTGCAGACCAGTTGCTGCTCCCGCCATGTTGAACATTATACATTTTTTGCTATGACATCCGTCCACATGCGCAGACTGTACTTAAACTTTCTGATTTGGACTGTAATCAGATACAAACGTTTATATGGTTATTATTCTTCTAATTAACAGATTATTTATAGGATTACCCACCTCGTTCAATCAGACAGAAACTGTATTCCGACTAGCCCACTCTGACTGAAGTGTATACAGGGACGTCTTCTATTCCAATCGAACTATTAGTCGAACTATTAACGCATTATTAGGCTGCATGTAAACATGGCTAAAGACATGTAAAATATCACCCAAACTTTGGCACACGACTGAATGTCTGCACAAGTTGTTTTGACTGCACACAAAGTTTTGAAGTAAAGTGGTTATAAACATTTTTAAAAGTTGCTGATGTTTATAAGCAGGTCAAGCAGACAGCAAACAACCATTAAGTTTTTCTGTTATGAAATGCTAGTCAACAGAAATCAAGAGAAAACATTAGAAATAGCTTCTTAGCTTCAACAGCCTGTAGATGCTCTGCCATTTCTACTTCAAATAATGAAAGAGAGCTAGAGAGGGCGTCTGTGTCAATTTTGTTTTCAATTTCTCACTGTGATGTTTCATTGAGTTTTTGGAGGGAACACTGTCAAGGCCACTGCACACCGGACGGGCTGCATCACGTAGCAGAGCGTTGCTATAGAACACTGGCAGGGAGAGCTGATAAACGCCAGGTTCAAGGAAAGGAAGTTTGAAGGAAATAAAGCATTCAGCATCACTCATCAAACTTGGTCTTCACAAACTGGCTGTTTTTGAACTGAAAGATAGGAGCTGAAAAAGGCTAGTAGCATTAGCTGAGGTAAGTTACCATTAGCATTTATCTGTTTATGTAAAAGACTGGTTGGCAGAGTCACAAGCACCGCTTCATGTCAACTCAAAATGCCAGCACCAGAGTGCAGACCTCCATTAAAAACCAGGTCTAGTCAGTCCTGCCGCTATTTTTTTGAGTGGCGAGTTTTATTTGTCTACAGGCACAATGAAGAGTTTAATACAAAGATACCGCAACCGTATCGTTACCATGGCTCAAAAACCATGATACATAACGAACCATGGGCCCACTGTCCTGTACCCTAGTGAACAGGATAATGCAACTATTCTTTTTAGCTTCTTTTGAGTTGGACTAGAATAATTTTTTGATGTGGACGTTTTGATTTGGTTCATCAAGTTGCCTTAACTCCTCTAACTCCTAACCCGATTAGAAAACACATTTTTAAACTTCTTTTTAACACTTTTAGTAAAACCATAGTCATTGACCACGCTGTACCAAAGGAAACACACCATTCATTACAGAAACACTACAGATAGATATAATGCACTCATAACACAATTTACTCTACCACACGTTAACCTTTGCCCCTCCAAGATAAAAGTTTGGGCACACATGTTTTCAGATTGACTGAACATTCTGGTACATTTTTTCCATGACCTACAGTGAACGACTCATTCAAGCCCAAGACATTAAACGGATTCACACATTAATACAAAAATAAAAGATTTCCAGAGAATATAATGATTATAATTGAAGGTAAAGTGTAGCTATAAAAACTGTTTTCCAAGTGCTGTAGAGGTTTTAAGACATCTTGTACCTTCACATTACATTCAGCTGTATGCAAAAGTTTTAACACCCTTGGGAAAATAACACGTTTTGTTGATTTTCTAAGTGAGAATAAACTAACCTCTTAAAATCTCAGTATTATTACATACTAAGGCGTATTATTCAGTAAATACAGGGACTTCAATGCAAACTGGCTGAGCTATTCTTGGATTATAGAAGTGTGTAATAAGACTTTGGGCCCGCCAGTGGTCCCTGGACATTTACGCAGATAACACATCTTCTACAGAAAAACACACGTCTGCCAATTTTAATGCACAATTTCTATTTATTTACTGAGTGTAACATATTGGGAAAAAAAAGAGCATAAAACATGCCATAACTTTTGCACAGGCTTTATTTCTGTTAAAATCATCAATAAACATTCAGTGTGCGTTAAAATGTGTGTTCTCTGTAGAGGATGTGTTCACTTATTTAAACTTAGAAAATAACGCAACACTCTATCTGAGCAGGGGCGCCTAAACCTTTGCACACCACAGTAT